GGTGCTGGTGCAACTGGAGCTCCCCTGCACTGGCCGGGACCAAGAGTGTGACAGTGGCTTCCTCCCGCTCTCAAGCGGAGGACTCCTCTTAAGCTCTCCTTTCCCACGTGCAGCTTGAGCTGTATCCAAATGCCCAGCAATTCTTTCTGTTTAAGTACACGTTTGTTGTGGAGTTAATTGTAACCATCATCAAATTTAAATTTATAGGAATTTTCTTGGCTCCACCGCCCTTCTGCCAGATGTCTCCGTCTGTCACAGTTAAATGTGTAGTGTTGAGGGCAGGGCTTTTATTTTTTCTCTTTATGAGAAGACTATTGGAATTTTTATATATAGTTTCAAAGGAAAGAGGGAGAAGAGGAGAAGCTAGTTCTCTTTTAGTCCTCTCTGAAACCTCTGAGTGTGGGAAGGTGAGCCAGGGCCCCTCCCCCTTGGGCACAAATGGCCAGGCTCCTCCAGACACCACCAGACCCCTGGGCTGGGGCCACCTTGATGTTTACACATTAGGTGTTCAGTATAGAAAGCTGCAGAGATACGTTTTGTAGGGCCTGGCATGGGGTGGGGGCACTGGGGAAGGAGGTGACCTGTGGAAACAGCTGCCACACCCACCTATATTCGCTGCACATTTCTTTTGTACAAGGATAATTGTGGTTCTTTTAGCACTTTCAGTGAAGACACAGTCTTGTGTGTGCTCTAAATGTGTTATTTGGGGGCAGAGGTTCAGGACCAATTCTCCCATCTTTCCCTTCTCTTTCTATTTTCATGTAATTTTTAAAAAGTTTTTGTCAATATAGTTCTGTTGGCTGAAAGGAAAATGCAACATGACTATCAAATCTAGGCTCTGCCATTGTTTTTGATGTCTGAGTCTTAGGTGCCTGAGTCTCTAATTTGTAAATATGGGTCTTTGAGACAAGATTTGCAAAGTAGGGTGTATATGTGTACCATAATCCCCTCATGCGCCCCCACACAAAGATTTTATTTAAGTCACTGTGCCTGTGCTTACACAAGAGGCGGAATATCATTTGTATGCTTTTGCCTGGAGTATGGAGTAAACCTGACCACATGCACAGCTAAAGCTTGTGTCTTCCGTACTGTGTAACCTTTGGCAGTGTTTAATGCGTGTGCACAGGAATGCAGTTGAGGGTCCTCTGTGCCTTTGTGTGCGTGTGTGACAGTTCTCTAGGTATGTTTGTCCCCTAGCCATCTCAGGGATGGATAGCCTGCTGGCCGTGTTTTGTGTTAAATAGCATGAAGATAACTGTATAGAACAGGCCTGAGTATAAAGCAATTAACCTCCAAAGAGCTCTTAGTTTTGGAGAAAACATATTTAAAACTAGCAGCTACCACTTTCCCTGCAACGTGGAGCTCAGAAAAGAACCTCAGCTAGCTCCAGAAGAGATTTCTGAAGGATAGAGCACAGTCGCCATGAATGAAAAACAAAGGCTTCTGTGACCTAGGCCTGAAAACCTGCCAGTCCTTGGTGACCTTCTAAAAAAAACGAAAAAAGAGGCGTCTCTAGCCCCCAAACAAACCCTCCTTCAGAGCGCTGGGATGTCCAACCCCCCTTGCCGGCCAGGGCCACTCTGGGCTCAGCCTCTTAGGGTAATCCCTTCCAGCCACAGCGCTGCATTGGAACAAAAGATCCTCGTCTAGACGCCGCCATAAAGCGCCCCCCCCACCCCTGCGCCTCTAAACCCAATTTCATTTCGCCCTTAACGACCCAGTCTGGCCTGTGTTAGAAAATGCTTCCGCACTAAACAGTAAACAAACCCGCAGTGGATGCTCTCCCAGCACACCCGGGACCCCCCACCCCATCCCTCCCCTTGCCCCACATTTTTCCTCTTTTCCTTCTGCCTTTCTCAGGTCCTAGCTCCCCACCCCCACCCCCAAGTAAATAAACCCGAGGCCGAGTTCAAAGTTTCCCGGAGCTAAGGAGGAATGTTGGTTGTAAAAATCCAAGTTTATAGCGCACGTGGGAGTTTACAAGGGTATTAAGTGGTGTGGGCTGAGAGAGTACTCTGGGCCCCTCTTCCCTCCTGCCACGGTTTGGTTTTGGGGGTGCAGGGGGAGCCAGGGGCACTTGAAATGAGAAATGGCCTTGGGTTTGGGGTTACTTTGTCAATCAGAACCTTTGGTTGCTGGGGAATGGCAAGGCAAGTGTCCCTCCGAAGAAAGCTCACAACCCCCACTTAAGCACCTCTCAGAGAAAACCCCTGGGTTCTAAACATCCTAGAGGGTGGATCCCAGGGAGAGCAAAAAAGGCCTAGGCTTGGTGTCTGAAAGATTAACAGAGTTAGTATTACCTGCAGCCAGTTCTCAATCAGAGGGGAGAAACTACCTTGGGCTAATTTCTGGAATGGGCTGAAGACAGAAGCTTTCCTCTCCAGGGCAAAGAACTTTGAACTTCAAGGGAGTCAAGGGCACCACCCCTTTCTTCTCCTACCCCACCCCCACCTCTCTCAAGAATCTGCAGGACAATTCCTTTTGGGGCCTATATTCCCTGAAGGGGGACAGTCCTTGGGGTTTCCCAGTGCCCCAGGGCTGGATAATGCTGTTGCTAAACCTTCCCTGCTTAGAGCCAGCCAGAACACTGCACGCGACTACCCTCTTTATGATTCATATAAAACTTTGGGAAAGGCAACGCCCTGGAAGTTTTTATAACTTTGTTTGGCATAAAAGTTTTACAAGATTCCCCACTCTGTTTAAAAAAAAATAACAAAGTTTTGGTCTTGCCATGAGATGAAATCTCCGGTCTTTGAGAGAGAAAACAGAGATGGCCTCGGAGGCTCCATTGTGTATACGTTGGGGGGGCGGGGTGGGATCTGAAGCTGCCTCTCTTTGCTGAAGGCAAAAAGGCTGGAAGATTGTGTCAATCCTTCCTGAGACACACCTTGACCTGGCTGTGAGAGCAAACAGACAACCGAGGCTGCATGCCTTCAGGAGAGTCCTGTATGCTATCTTCAGATACATACACCGGTATAGACCCCCAAAGTTTTGACAGTATCAGCAGGACAACACCTTCACTGTCACTATCATTCTGTGGTTTTCTTGAAGCCCCTCCCCCCCACCTCTGATCCCTGCACTCACATTCTCACCCCACCCCCCAACCGAACAACATGAACAGCATCTATAGCCTTGACCCAGACTGCTGATTTGAGACAGTCTCTGAACACGTAGCCCTGCATCCCTGCTGCCTGTGAAATCAAAAGTGAGTCTGAAGAAAAACAGAATCCAAAAAATGCTAAGAAACTTCTGTCCAGCCAGAGGTTGCAGTTGTTGAAGAACTAAAGGTAACAGAGGCCAGCAGGGTTGCAGTCCAGGAGCACAGAGAACAAAGGTACCTGTGTGAGAACATGGCCTTGGGCTTCCAAGTCCATGGATGATGACCCCTGGACCTGCCTCCCACCTTCAAGTGACAGAACTCCACTCCCTCATTTCCCTTTCTGCAGCCTTGGGAGAACTAACTGGGATCAACTTTGGGACATTTTAATATTTGGCTCTAAAGGTCAGGATAAAGGTGGGGTGACTTCTTCAGAGGCAAGCTTCGTGGATTTTGGGGTGATAGAAATTAAATCAACTGTCCCCTAGAACCTAGAACTTCAAACAGTCATTGGCATTGGTGGGAGTGTGCCCCAGAGCCCGGTTTTTCCTTCCTTCTAATGGCGGCTGTGGAGGCCTGGCCACTGGCCACTGCCTACAGGTCCTACACTTTGCCTTGTGAGCAGCCCTGCTAAGGCTGAAGGCGGGGGTCAACTCCAAGCCTGAGTAGCCAGGATGGGGAGGCCTAAGACTAAACCTGGCACACACCCCCACTGCACGCCATGTGTGCGCGCATGTGTGTGTGTGCGCTCACGCACAAGTGCATGCACGCACGCGTGCACACACACACGCACTCACACACAGAAGCCTAGCACAACAGAGAAAACTCAGAAAGCATTGGAAGGAGAGTCAAGGAGAAGGAAAGAATTGAGGTGGAAAAAAAGAGCAAAGAATAAATTGTGTAATAAAGGAAAAAAGAAAATGAGGAAATGGAGAATTAAGGAAGACAACAAATTAAAGAGAAAAGATCAGAAAAAGAGGAAGGAAAAATGAACTACAAGAGAAAAAAGGAAAGGAAATTAGAAAGAGAAGGAAACAAATTAAAAAAAGAGGAGGAAATAAAGAAAAAAGAAATAAAAAGAACAAGGACAAAAGAAAGAAAAAGAAAACAGTTTTTCAAAAAGGAATTTTGCTCAGTGAGGGAGGGTGAGGGGTTTTCTCCAGAGCAAAGCAGTCCAACCACTGCCTGGGCAGTGGCTGGAAACCTGACCTACTGGGGTGACTTAGAAACAAACCATCAAAGTGGGGGCCAAGGCCTTCCCCCAAGACAACCTCCCAGTGGGCTCCTCCTCCCAAGGCTTCTCTCCGAGGTGTTTTGCAGTCTGGTTTCGATTCAGGAAGCAAAGTTAAATAACTGTTCGGCTTCGGCAGGGCCAGGAAACAGGCTGGTGCAAGTTATCAGACTTCAGGATTCAAGGATCTCAGGGAGCACTTTGGGTAAAAGTGAATGTCTGTGGCTGTGTACATGCAATTAAGTGCAAGTCGGACATGTGTACAGATGCTAAACTCCATGGCATCTGGGTACAAGTGTGTACAATGTCCAGATGTGAGAGTGCTTTGGTTGGCCGGGTTGCCAGGGTGGCTGTGAGATCTGAAGTACACCAGGGGCTCCCTTAACGCTCCTCAGCCTCCCACCTCCATACCTGTTTGAAAACCTGTTTTCTGGACCTCTGAGCATGCCACATTTTGCCTGGGTTGCCCTGCTCACAATTCAGCTGAGGCAGAGCCTGGCTAGAGAAGAAAAGCAAATCTTGCCTTCAAGATTTGGAAAAAGAATGGGTTATCTCCTCTCTGCCTCCAAAATAGGAAGACAAGGCCTTGTTTTCCATTTCGCTTGAAGAGATTTTAGTATACACATTTTATTTTTATTCTATTTTATTATTTTACCCCCTTCTTTTTTCATCTGTCTTTAGAATTTCCCGGAGGACTTGACTTCCTTAATCTCATCGGGAAACTGGCAATTTTCATTGGAAAAATCAGGGTTCTTGTAGGGTAATTTGAGGACTACAACTGAGAAGACAGCCGAGGTTTCTTTCTGTTCGTTGAGCGCTACATTTTCCTTTTTTCTGCTTTTACATGGGGACCCCTAGCGCCTCAGCTCTCTGCCTGCCCTGTGGAACCACTAGATCCTCCTGGAGCACGTAAGGAGCTCTCCTCCTTTGCTCACAGACATACAGGCGGCGGGAGGCCCAGCACCGTCCCTACTGCCCTTCAGGGTCTGGGTACCGGGCAGGAAGAGCAAAGGGGCCAGGGTCCCACAGGCGGGTGGGATTTGTCAAGTCATGGGCACAGTTTGAAGCAGCCCCTGGATTTCCAAGTCCCCAAGATGAGGTAAGAAGGGGGATCCCTGGAGTCTGGGAAAGGCGCAGGTCTCCGCAGTCCGGGAAGTTGGGGAAATGGTTTAAAGTGATTCAGTGCGGTGGTGATTTTGGTAACACAGACTTCCCCTGGACCCCAATCTAGTTGTCATGGGTGCTGGCTGAGGGGCCTTGGCCCTGTGGGCAGGGCTGGTGGGCACCAGGCAAGGCTGCAGACAGTGTGGCCGTGTGGCTGCGGCGGCCCGCATGCCTTTGAACGCCAGGCCGGCACAATAGGACGGAAACTGCCTTTGCTCGTGGCCTCGGGAAGGGAAAGACGGAGCCCAAGGGGGCAGGGGTGGGACCCAGACCAGGCTGGACTTCCCGGACCCATGCAAATGCTCTCTTCCCAGGGTCCTCACACTCACTTCTTTTTTGTTACCGCTACTGAGGCAGAATCCCAAAGTCTGCAGAAACCCAACAAGTTACTCAAATCTGCGTCTGAGCTAGCAGGCTCTTGTTTAACAGTGCTGGATTTTCGTTTATCTTGAGTAATTACAGGCAAACATTTGTCACACCGGGGGTCCCACTTAGGCTGATGAATTTGATTTCCTTTTTCATTAATGGCCTGTGTTTATCATACTTCTAATTGTTTCAACTTTAAACACTATTCGTTCTTGTGAGGTGAGAGTTGAGGTGGGAGGCTTTTCCCTGGGGGTATTATTTCCTTTAATAATGGCAAGGATTCTAAAGCAACTCCACATCCTCCAAAGCTGAGGTGAGAGGTGAGGTGGGTTTAGATCCGGCTGGTACGGGAGGCAGCTCAGAGGCTGAGTGACAGGGCTCCTCTCCTGAGGTTCCCCAGCTTGTGCTTGTTTTTGAGGACAATTCTAAAATGTATCTCCTTCACCCTCTTCTGCTGACTCTCACAATCCCCTCCCAAACTAGGCTCAGCCCTGTGAGGCCGTTTCCTCCTAACCTTCCACCACGGGTCCTAGCCTGGCCTGGGCAGAGGCTTCTGTAGTGCTGTCTGTTCTTGCTCCCAGCTATTAACACTGAGAGAAAAGCCAGAAAAAGCTAAGGTGTCCCAGCGGCACCTGGCCATGCAGAAAGGGCCCACCAGACTCCAAAATGTGAGGCAAGGGCAGAGGACTGGGACGACAAACTCCAGGGACAGGCACACCAGGCAGGAAAATAAAGGAGATGGGAAAGAGGGGGAGGAAACCCCCACGCCATATAATTCTCAATTGCTTTGGTCTTTAATTTCATCGTCCCATAAATGAGGAAATATCAGTTCCCATACTAAATTTTTATCCCCATCTGATAAATATGACGGGAAATTTTCGTTGGGTCCTCGTAAAAGGGAACTGTTTCGATCAAACTGGTGGGGAAATACTTATGCAGATAATACAAACAGAGTGGCCATAAAGTCTCGGCTGTTTCCCGCAGGATGGGCGATAGGACAAATGGCTCCCTGGATTGACTGCTGCCCAGGCTGTCCCAAGTCTGGTCTGGGGCCTAAACAGCCTAACCTTGCCCTGGACAACCCCCATGCTGAGACCACTGCGACCCCTGCAAATGAAAACACAAAACTATTTCAAACATCCCCTTGCCAACCCTGAAAGCAAGCCACACACTCATTTTCTTCCAGTTTTTAGGGGGTTCAAGAACTCTGTGCCTAATCTCCCAAGCCCTGGATGGGGGAATTCGCCAGATTTCTTTCCGCACTCCTCTTCTAGCTGCTCGGGCTGGGCCTCTTTAGAAGCAGTCCAGCCTCCTCACTGGTCCACGTTAGAGCGCTCAGCACTGGGGTCCTTTCCCAGCTGGGCTATAGCCCTTCTGAAAGTGAAAACCTCTGGCTCCCACCTGGGAAAAATGCCGGGCTACAGGAAAGACAAGTTATTTTCTGGATTCCGTTTCCTGAGGAAAGGGTGGAGAGTTTAGTTCGCTTTGGGAGAAAGGCGATGGAGAAATGGAAAGAAATATACAAAACAAACACTGCCTCTTATTTCTCTTAGCTAAAAGCCAGAAACAACAAAAATAGACCACCCTCTCTTCTCCTTTTAAAAATGCTTCTAGCCCAATCACACTGTGAAGGACACTTCCCTGGGTCGGATTTGGTTGCGACTCTTGTCCTTTTTTCCCTGTGCTGATTCAGGACTCCCCCAACCCGATCGAGGCTTTAGCAGGTTCTCTATTTCTCTCCAGGAATATACCCTGTTTTAGTGGGGGCAAGGTCAAACAGAAAGCAAGGGCCACCAAGGCCTTAAACAGCCACAGCTCCAAGGCCAAACCCCTGAGATGATGGCCCACGAGACGCCCACCCAGCCGGGCTCAGGCCGACACAGCTCCGGCGCTGAGGTCGCAGACCTGGTATCTCTGGTCCTGGGCTTCCTCCTCCAGGGATCTTTACTCCTACCGGGTGCCTGCTGTCCCCAACAACCTGAAGTAACCTTGACTCCCCTCGGCCTACCCCAACCCCTGGAGATTCCCTTTCAAGCCCCCCCAGGGAACTTGCAACTCAACCAACCTCCAAGACTCTGGTCCCAAAGCATCCAGCCCCAAGGCCAAGCGGGGAACCAGGGAATCGGGAGAGCAGAAACTTTAGTCTTGTTTTCGGTTCTTTAACTTTCTGGACTCACCGAAGCACCCCGCCAAAAAACAAAAGCACCTCGCCCCACTCCCACCCCTACAGAAGAAGTGGGGTTGGGGCTGAAGGGAGGGAAAAGGGAGGTGAAGAGAGTAAAGGAAGTACCTGAATCTTGTCTTGACCTTTTAATTTGAATTTGACTGTTTTGAGCCCCAGGTTGCCTCGCTCCCTCTGTCCAGCATTTTTCCCCTCTCCGACCCCCTTTCCCCAGGAGTTATTGGCTAATTCCCGGGAAAACAAACCCCACTCTTCCCAGAACCCCTCCACCTCCTTCCACCAACACCCCTCCGCCCAGGCCGCCCGCGGGGCGCTTCCTTTGTTCGCGGGGAAGGGCTAGGGTGCCCCTACCCCGAGGCAGCTGCTAGGTGGCGCTGTTACTCCACGCTGCGCGCTCCGCCTGCCAACAACTTGACCCCGCTGACGTCACGGCCGTCTGAATCATCAAGGCCATTTTCAAATCCCATTGGTCTAGCCGTCACATGGTGAGGCCCGAATGCGCGGATAATTATGGAGCTGATATTTCCCCCCCTCCCCTTCTTTTTTCTCCCGCCCCTC